GTTTATTAAAAGAATACATGGATTTAAAATTAAAGACAGGATGAAGTTTTCTTGGAGGTCTTCATATTTCAGCAGGCTAAAGAGCACAGCAGCGAGCACTGTGCTAAAATGGGGTTATATTTGTAGACTCGTGTTTCACCCAGAGGTGTGCCCCACTTTAAGACTGGAGTACTTCTCTAGTATTACAGATGATCCTAATGCACCAGTATGTAATACTACTCCCATGCAGACATTATCATTTGACCACTGATGTGATGTTCCTGAAAAAGTGGAAACACAGTGATTCAAAGACAACTTTGCTTTGATTCTTCAGTGAAAATGAATTGTCTGTATTCCTTCTCGGTCAAGTTGCTCTCATAAAACGGATAAGGAGAAGCGAAAGCCTTGTGAAGAACTGAATATTTGATTGTACACATCACAGGCTTTCAGTAGGCTTTGAAATCTAATCCAGCCCAGTACTCTCATTTAACCCCAAGGCACCTAATCACTTTACAAACATGACAGGTTTGATGTTTGAGGTTTTCATACTTTGCTATCAGCTACCAAAAGGCTTTTCTCAACTGGAAACAAAAACATGTTGATGTTGCTGCACCGAGTTAGCTATGAAGGTTAAAGGGAGCTGGTTGTGACAGAGTAGTAGCTGGCAGTGTTTCCATAAAAACATGTTTGTGGATGTTTGGGTTTAAGTTTACTGTGAGGGCTGTGTTTGCTCAGACGCTCAGTTCAAGCTCTGCTTGGTGTCTCAAGAAGAAGCCCAGCAGTTTTATCATCCTGCATCAGGTTACACTATATAGAGGAGACTGGTGTGCTTGTGTCAGACAGTGACCTGAATGCCTGTCATTTTCAGAATTTTTAAAAGCATAATTTTAAAAAAAAGAAAGAAAGAAAGAAAAAAAATTACCCTCACTCTGTGTGTGTGTGTGTGTGTGTGAGTGTGTATCACTTCTTTGTCTCATTGTGGGATGTTTGTGTTTCAGCTGTCCAAAGACCAACGGCTGGTGTACTCAGGAATGCTCCTTCAAGACCACCTGCAGCTCAGAGATGTGCTTAGAAAGGTGAGAGCCACGTATCGATGAGTTTTTGGGAGGGGATGTTAAGTTCCTGGGAATTCCTTGGTGAGAAAATATTGGATCTGGATTTATCCTATAAGGGATCATATAGATTTCTTTAAATTTCAAGCCAGGTAGCACACAGCACACCTTGTTTTACAGTATAAACATTAACAAAACAAAGCATAAAATAAAGTTCACTGCATTGCCTTTCATGAAATAACTTACCTTTCTTGTCTGACCTCGTGTGTGTTCAGAGTTTGAATTTAAATTTTCAAAAGTTGTTCCAAAGTTCAAAACCGTGATGTGTCTTTACTCTTGTTGAGCGCACTGGCTTGTAATTAGTGCCACAGCTGTCAGTTACTTTAGTATTTGACTATTCTATTAATCCATTGAGTAACCGGGTAAGAAATATGTTTGTCTTATTAATGAACAATAAAAATCTTAAATCGCCTACAACGTACATAAAACATCTGCCTAAAAAACCAAAACATTTTCTTAAATTCAAAGATAACTAATCACAAGTACAATAATCTCAAGCAAAAGAAGTTATACATGCAACGGAGCCAGTTCATAAAATAAAATAGGCTTTGCTTTGTCTTCTTGTAAGACTTTTTTATGAAACTGTAAGCAAAAAAGAAAGAGGTAGATTTGGTTTTGTTTGTTTTTGTGCTAGTGAGTGAGCAGGTGTGTGTCTTTAAGCCTTTAAAGGACTATGTGGTGTCGGCAATGAAGACAAACGAGCATATCAACATTCTCAGAGCTCAGGCTTGACCTTGGCTTCAAAGAAATGTTTCCTGTTGCAGAAAACAGATGTCCTGATAGTGTAGATGTTAATAATTAATGTTTATTATAATTCACTGTCCAACATAGCAGACGCAGATCAGTGGCCTCTGAGTTTTACTGGCCTGCAAATAAGAAGGAAGG